GTGAGAGAGAGAGTGAGAGAGGGAGAAAGAGAAATTGCGCGGATTTAATACACGGGTCTCACTGGCGTTAAATAGCACCGCTTTACTGCCTGTGGCAATTAGCGCTGGTCTTTGTGGATTAGGTGGTATTTGCAATGAGGCTTATTTTCATAAGAAGGGGGCAATTTTGCGCAGAATTTATGAATATTCCATAATTTACATGCATGCAAATTGGACCGGCGCAGCTAGGAGTGGCAGTGCAGTTTGTGTTCAGTTTGCGTGCATTTCACCCTTTGCGTGTGCTTTGTGGATTGCACGCTATTTTTTTCTCTCATTTGCACAGGTTTAGCGGTCGCAAAAGCAGTGCAATCCTTTTGAGGATCTGGCCCAGTGTTTTCAGATTTGGATGTTATTTCTTGAGGTCTAAGATCCATTTTCAACATTACTATATAACCATAATCAGAACAATATAACATTAAACACAAGATTCAGACTACACACGGGTCCCGGGGACTCACTACACTGAAAATCTCTCAACATCACTGCTTCTTGTACATACCTGCACATGATGTTGCGTAGTTTCTCCAGGTTGGCTGTGGTGAAGTAATAATAGTTGCGGTCGCAGCGCTGCACATCTTTGTCTATCCTGTGTAGATTGAGAGCGACTGTGTCCAACAGCTCAATCTGCACAAAGGAAACACTGAGTCAACACCGGGGGGATTTTGGTCTTTCTTTGGCATTTGTACGTGTTTTACTATGAGTGATCTCAGTCTTTTAAAGTGGAGATGAAGCATTGAACAATGTACTTGTGGTTCATTTGATTTTTACCTTAAAGGCAAGATATGACATTGCAATCAAATTCTTAATCACCTAGATTTGCTAGAAAAACAGATAGTATTTTACTATTTCACAAGCAGGACAAAGCCATCTTTTAACAAGCTAGTTGGTGATGTCCTGAGAATGGTTTGTCTCTGTTATTTGCCAGTAGGACTTAAAATAGGCTTGATAAACTTGGTACTGTGGAACATGTTCTGTCCTTTAATGACTGCTCTGTTCTCAGGCAATATGGTTTTTACCGCCAGTGTATGAGATATTTTCAAGCGGCAACTTCCAGGGCTGAAATATGAAGCCACAGCATAAGTGCCAAAAAAGTGCAGTTCTTAGAATGGCCACTTGAGGCTGGCTCCAGAAGCCAGTCCATCCCAATAGAACCCCATGTTAAACTGTCCAACTTAGCAACAGAAATAAAAATGTTAACAGCCTGGTACAAAAAACAGTTTTGGTCTCGATAGCTATTTTTAACATTCATGACAACTGTACGGAGGGTGAACTTTTATAAGACTTAAAGTTGTGCATAATCAAGCCCAGGCCTTTTTGAGTGACAGGCTGTCTGCTGATAGTGTCCTCAGCTTCTCAGACATAAAATCTTTGTTTCCAAATTTTACTGAAGAGCCAGATCTTAGTGGTGTCTTGATGTTGAGGACAATATGTACACAAAAAAAGAGTATGGATGCTAAACCAAACTGGCACCACCAGCTATCGACCACAAAGGGAATCAGGACAAATTCAGGTGGTGCTCTACCCCGACAGAGTCATAATGTTTGTTTATTTTAAGGGTGCTTCATGATGCAGAACATGCCTACATTTGACTCAGCTTCTCAGTGGGAATGATGTTAATTATGATATAGGGCAGCTTGTGGACATGACCACAGGGTTAGGCTAACGTTAGCTATGTTAGCTGTGACAACTTACGTTGTTGTGGTCCGACAGCTTGATGGAGACAGTGGTAGAGCAGGTTTTTTGTGTGGAGAAGGTTTTTTTTGGTTTGTTAGCTGCTGCAACCCTCTATGGAATGTAGCCATGAACCACCCAATGCACTAACTTTCAAGTTCAGGCATCCCTTCAGATTCACCGCTGTCATCTGACTCCATAGGAACATGTCTATATTTGGTCTTATTGGTTCAAAAAATACTGGCAGTTGTTTTTTAACAATAGTCCTTTCTATCTCATCAAAACTCTACTGTATCAGCACTAACTAATCTTAAGTACAGTGGTGTACTTAGTACTCCCAGAAAACAACCATTCCTCTGATATCACTAACTAGCTTGTTGGAAGATGGTAGCGCCCTGATGTCAAAACATCAAATACAATCTATCAAGTGGATATCAAATTTCATTTTAGTGCCATATCTTGCCTAAAGCCTGGAATACACCATACTAATAATTTAGGTTGTCCCAGAGGAAAGATGATTAACGTGGAAGAAACGTGGCTATATCTTTGGTCATGGCTCTAAAAAGGTGGCCCTATGTCACACAGCAAGAGGTTCAAGGATGGCAATTGTCACGGTCTTGTGATCAAACACAGCCTGGGCTAAGATTCTGACAGTATCAGAAATTTGGGGTGCCCATCTCACAGTGTGACTGCTGTTACGACCTACGTCTGGTAACCAACCAATAGAAATGCAGCTTAAAATGATGCACTGGGACTAGACCCAAACAAACAGACAGATAGCAGCTTGCCATGGAGGCAAAACACATTAAAAGAAATGTGTGGAATTAGAGCAAAGAGGAAAACTTTGTGGAGCTGTGGCAGCAGAAGCCTTGCCTGTATGATGTGTCCTCCAACTCTTACCATGATCGCCCAAAAGATGGACAAAGCATGGAAAGAAATAGCGGCAGAGTTGCAGCTAAAAGGTCAACAACCTATCAGCTAGCAAACACACACACAGTGTCTCATCTCCACTTTAAGCTTCTAAATCATTGTTGCAGACTTGCTTAAAGGGCCAGTGTGTAAAATGGGTTGAAACCCGTTGGAAACAGTGACATCAGTGGTCAAATTCTAGATTGCAGGGCTCACTCACTCACCCCTCCCGTCGGGTAAATGACGGTGGCCTTGTAGGGACAAAAAGCCTTGCGCACGAGTTTTTCAGGAGTAGGTCTATCTAGCGAGGAGCTGAATGTTTATTTAGAAATCTAAACCATGTTACGATATTGTAATGAATCCCTCACGAGCAGGAGACCAGAGGAGCGTTCGGGAAAAAGGCCCGTTTATTTGAGCACTCCAGAAACTCCGGTAACACTCCACTCCGTCCCAAACTCTGACTCTTCTGGCGTAACACACACACTCCATAACTTTACACACATACTCATTTGCCATACTAAGTGGGGACCCCCTCCCCTCTCTGCTCCGCCAATCTCCAGCCCGCACACTGACTGACAGCGTAGCCGGTAAACAGTGCTCAGCTGTTTATTTAGCCTAGCAATATCTCCGGACTATAGTAGCTGCAATGGACGACTTTGAACGCGATTTTGAAGAGTTTCTTGTAGCGGACACAGACCCAGAACCATACCTGTTTGACCCGGAGCATACAGATGAGGAACTCCATGTGTTTGATGCTGAGCGGGAGAGAAGAGAGGCTGAATGCACAGAATGGGATTCGGTGCTACTGCTGCCATTGTTGGGGAGATATATCATCAGGAGGAAAAGCGCCGCAGAGAGTGCATCACAAGGAGTGAAGTTGCGTCTTCTTTTCCTCGCAGATGACAGTTCGGGTTCATTCTCTCCTACTGCGTGGTAAGTGTGGTCCATTCGCAAACTTTATAACTAAAAAACTTTTCACTACTCTCTATCGACAAACTACTAACACTCTCTGCTGTTTCCTCCTCCTTCTTCCTTCCTTCCGCTGTCTTCGCTGGTTCATTTATACACGCGAAACGCGTTCTCTGGCTGGCTGGATTGTCCGCTCGGTCTGCCGTACATACATGGCGGCACAAGATGGCGACCTCTCTAAAGCAAGGCCCTTGAGATATATATATATATATAAAAGCATAATTATAAGGCTACGAAAACCAAACGAATTTTATTTTATAGCGATTATACACTTGTATAAACATATTAATGGGTAGAATATTCAGATTCAGATTCAGATTGACAATAAACCATGCCAAATATTACACACTGGCCCTTTAATCAGAGCCAACAAGCAGACTCATCCATATACTGTACACACTGTATATGAGGAGAGCGAAGGTGATATCGCTTCTGCAGCTGCTCCATTGGTCACCAGTTTGTCCAGCTGACTGCACAGCCTGTCCTCAGTGAGAGAGTCCTGACGCCCCCCCAGCACACCCGTAGTCCCGCCCTCCTCCCCGCCCCCTCCTTCCTCCTCCGTGCTCTGACCATCGTCTATGCTGGACAGAATCTGAGAATGAGCAGAGGTCACTGAATAATTTCTGGAGGAGGGGAGACCCGAGTCGGGGGAGTCAAACTCCACCAGGGGTCGCTCCTCTGGGGGGAGGGCCGCAGGGGGAACCAGGGTGGTCATAGTGGGGGTACTGTCCTCTCCACTGGGGGTCTCCTGGCTCCCACCATCCGGCTCATCCACCGACATAAACACCTGAAGAAGAATAAAATGTAGAAATGATAGAGGACAGTGTGGGATCATGTGTTTATATACTGCTCCAGTCTGTGGTTGTCAAGACGATATGTTTTATCTTTTTATATAATACAATTAATATCATGTATACCTGAATAACGATACAGGACACTATACTGCAGCAAATCCTCTCTATATTATTATGTCAAAGTCTAAAAAGGAGTAGGATGTTTGTTGGATGGCTGTCATATTATGTTGGGCTTCTTCACCTCATTGCTCAGTGTGGAGTCTCTGTGAACGAGTCTCAGGACGTGACTGTCAATGCTGCTGCCCGAGGAGAGCTTGGCAAAGATGGCTGACTGCATCTCCTTCTCCCTCTGCTTTACAATCACTTCACAGGCCTTCCACTCCCGCATCACCTGCTGGTAGCGCTCGCTGATCTTTGCATCAATCTTCACGGGAAAAACAAGGCAAATACACATTGCTCTTTAAATGAAGAGACAAATTATTATAATTCTGTGTGTGTGTGTGTGTGTGTGTGTGTGTGTGTGTGTTTCCTGTACCTGGCCCATGTCTTTTTTGCCCATACCAAACTTGTAGTGTCCCAGCAGGAAAGGCCAGACCTCCTTTCTAATATCATGCTGCACTCCACCATAATAAACCAGCCTCAGCAGCTCCAGCTCCTTATAGTTCTACACACACACACACACACACAACCACACACACGCACCCACACCACACATACATACACATAGAGAGAGAGAAAAAGGATGATGGGATTTCAAACTGAAAGAAGGAAGACGACAGGACGCAGGATCCTGGTGTGAGCAGTGAGATGAAATAAAGGAACAGGAAGTGCATTAATAATGGAAGGAGAGTAAAAGAGACTACGACCCATACAGAGGAAGACAGACGAGCGCAGAAGATAAAGGACTCAGATATGAATAGAGTGTAAATTAGTAGTGATTACTTTGTTGGAGGTGATTAATGAATACAGTAGCTACTTTAATAGCTACCACGGTGTCATACCGCACTCTGTAATGAGACTTCATTTCACTGAAACTCATTAAATTTCCATTAGAGTGAGGGAGAGTGGAGAAGGGTGGAGACTGCAGGGACAGTGCATGATCCCTGACTTATTACACACCTACAGTAAAGAATGACACAGTATATATGAGAGGAGGACAGAATAACATTTAACTACAAAGCAACTGAAGCTCAATTCTAAAGTTGAAAAAACGTGACATTAACTTTAAACACAATTCGTGAATTAGTGAAGAATTCATATGTATAGAAGTGAGCTTACACAGCATTGTGAGGCCTCCCAGTGCTCGAAGAGGAAAGTATGGGTGGTTGGGTATTTGCATTACATTTGATTTTGTTGGGAATAGAATGATTTTATGTGTTTTACTATAAGTTGTGTTTCACTATATAAGTTTTAGATGTGTGAACAATGAGAATACTGAGATGATTTCAGCTGATCTGAATGTGTTTGCTTTGCAGAAGTGGAGAAGTACAGGAGAGGAAGAGACATGAAGTCTGAGGAGCACATACTGCAATGCTTAGATAATTAGTTTCATATATGGTAAAAAGAATAGAAAGTGATATACAGATAGTAAGGTACAGCACGTGTAGGGAGTTGTGTTGTTCTCTTGTCTTTCAAAACAGGAACCACGCCCCCACCGCCAGCGGGAAGGAGTCAGATTAACACGAGGCAGGGGCGTGGTGTGGTGAAGGAGGAAGTGGAACTGCCAATGAGAAGAGGACAACGCCTTGCGTGCACAATGACACTCTGTTACGCTCAAATATACTGGGTCAGGGAAAGGACAGGAGGTCAGACTTCGTGAACTGACACACCTTTGTTGTTCGTCAGGGACGTGAAGTTGAGACCCAGAGCTCTGTAATTTTATTCCTTTACTGCTTAATAAACTACATTAACTGAGACCGAATATCTTCTCCTATTGCTTCATTAAAGAACACGCAGGACTGAGCTCACACATAGCACATTGGAGAGTAGGATGAGACTCTTAGTCCAACAATTTCTATTACACTGCATTTCAAAGAGGAATAATGTATATTTTATATTATATTTATCTTCTATCTAACATTTAAATATGAGGAATGACTACACATTTAATATAGCCCAAGCATATGTACAGCATAGTTATTGTCATCAGCCACACTGATACAATAAAAACTAAATTTACCACTTTGCGGTTGTATGCCTCCGTGAACCAGTCAAGTTGCAGTTACAGTTTACATCAATGTCTGTGAGAACATAAATGATTCACACACACTGAAGTTGATCTTTGACCTTTTGAATATAAATCATCATTCACTTCAGCATTTTATCCTGTTTGACATTTGGGTACAATTTTCCGTAATTAGCACATGCACAGTAATTAGCACTGTGAGGTCACAGTGACCTTGACCTTTGACCACTGAATTACTTCATCCTTGCCTCAAACTCGACGTTTGTGCCAAATTTTAAGAACATTTTCTCGAGACATTCTTGAGATATTGTGTTCCTAGGAATGAGATTTTCCCCGTTAAAGGGTTTTTTTGGGGAGTTTTTCCTTATCCGCTGCGAGGGTCATAAGGACAGAGGGATGTCGTATGCTGTAAAGCACTGTGAGGCAAATTGTGATTTGTGATATTGGGCTTTATAAATAAAATTGATTGATTGATTGATTGATTGAGATGGATGCAACGTCACAGTGACCTTGACCTTTGACCACCAAAATCAAATGTACAAAGGTTCTTCATTGACTCAAAGTGGACGTTTGTGCCAAATTTAAAAAAGACCATGTATTGCTGGAGGTACAGATTTATAAAATAAAGCTGCAAGCAGCAATGACTGAGATCCATTGCTTTAAAGAATCCAATCTTTGTCTTAGACACACCACTTGTGTGAAAGTGAAAGTGACTTACTGACTGTGTTTTGATTAACGTGGAAGAAACGTTTTTTAACACACCTTCCAACAAGTTGAGGCAATGACATCATGAACAACAGTTTTTTTGTTTGTTTGTTTGTTTGTTTGTTAGTTTTTTGTCAATTTATGCCTCAAACACTTACAGCAGTAAAAAGCTGGTGATTAAATTCTGAATAATGGTTTTGGGTGTATTGCCAAATAGCTTTATGAAGTTTGATCAAACATTTGGTTAAATAGAAAACGTGTATAGTACTAATTACAGGAAGACACTGAATATCACTGTGGACTCACCACTTAGCAGATCTTAACACTATTTGAAAAGCTTGATATCAAGTATCCAAAGAAAGTTTGTGTCAATTTTGGTCGCATTTGAATAAAGACTTGTGGAGATGTAGATTTTGATTAATTTTGCATAATTTTAAAACTATAAAGTGACTGACTCCTTAATCAGCCATAGCCTGCAGTGAGGCAAAGTTTTTGGCACAATTCAGCAGATGCGCTGAAAAAAAAAAAAAAAAAAAAAAAAAACGACCTATAGGACGTACCGGTGATTTATTTTGATGTTTCGAAGTATGGAATGTGAAATTTAGATGATGATAATAAGCCATGCCCAATTCAAGCAGTTACCAAATTCTATGCATGGACTGCATCATAACCCTAGATTCCATCCATCCGTCCATTTTCTTCGGCTTATCCGGGGCTGGGTCGTGGAGGCAGCAGGCCGAGCAAAGCACCCCAGACATCCCTCTCCCTGGCAATGCTTTCCAGTTCGTCCTAGGGGACCCCAAGGTGTTCCCAGGCCAGATGAGATATGTAATCCCTCCAGCGTGTTCTGGGTCTGGCCTCCTACCAGTGAGATGTGCCCGAGACACCTCAAGTGGGAGGCGCCCAGGAGGCATCCTAGTCAGATGCCCAAACCACCTCAACTGACCCCTTTTGACACAAAGGAGCAGCGGCTCTACTCCAAGCTCCCTCGGGATGTCCAAGCTCCTCACCCTATCTCTAACCCTAGATTGTGCAACTCTAATTTCATACGAATTCCTGTAGCTGATTACAAGATATAAACTTTTTGCATCTGTGATGCCCTCTAGTGGCAGAAATCCCAAGACTGCTAGCAACACTCTGAATATTAATGTCTTAAAATTTCCTTGGTAACTTCAGATCAGCAAAGTCCGCAGATTATCCTGTCAAAGTTTCAGAGCGAATGGTTTCTGACGAGTTCTTGAAAATAATATAATAATAATTTTGTGAGGGAAAACTGATTTAGAGCAATAGACCATTGATACAAATATGCAGATGAGCTGAGGATTTAAATGTTGAAAGAATTTAGATTTCAAACCAAGATGTTTTTGAGGTTATTGCACAAATTTAAACTTGATTGTTACAGTGACAACTTGAGGTCAATGAGTGTCATTTTGCAGCTGAGCTGTGGGTGGAATTTCCAACCCACCTCCCAATTTTAGTGACTTTTGGTCTGATGGTTTTGCTGCACAGACAAAATAAAATGGAGCGAACAAAAAGAGGGAGTTTCAGCAGCTAGCATCTGCTTTTGGTGGCATAATCTGCAGCAATGACTAACTAAAATACAACCAGTTTTGCTGTTTGTTGGTCTCGAATTGTGGTCTGCAGTGCTCTGCAGCTTTGCTCTTCATAAGTCTCTCAAGGACTATTCCTCACAGGTTGCCTCATCTTATCACATTTATAAAATTTCACCATAAATAAGACTAACACAGTCTCCACACAGCACAAAATGACCATGATTTATCTATGGAGCTTAATCGATACCAATGACTCAATGATGGTTTGGCAATCTGCTGTGATTTCTGGCTTTTAAACTCCCCGTCCTGCAGGTGAAGGGGTGGACGCATAGAGGGGCGTAAGATGGTGCAGGAAGAAGATTAAGATTCTTTTTATCTTGTAATTCCTGCTACTTGCTGGCAGAGGTCGATCATGCTGTTATATTTAATTTATCTTTCAGCCTCCCTGTTTGCTGCTGTAGAACAGTCTCTGCTTTGTACCCACCTTGCAGTCTTTCTGGTACTTGCTCCACACCTCCTTGTTGAGGCCCCCGGACGCCTCACAGGGTCTGTCTGGAGGGACGATGTTGTGGTTGACCAGAGCTGACAGATGAGTCCGTACAGTGGAGAGGTGTCGGCAGTAGGCCAGCCCTGATGGACAGGTGAGACATGAACAGACACACACAGCTGAGACTAAGGCCTCTAGTTTCGCAGACTGGGCAAGGCGCTTCACCAACTGGGTGTGGGCAGGCGGATTTTGCAAGCTTGGCACACTGTGCGCGCTAGTGCAGCTACTCCTCTTTCCCACCTCCGTCCCTCCTACCTGCGCAAGTCGGAAAGAGGGAGGAGAGAAGGCGTGGAGTTTTACACAGCCAATTCACATCACACCAATCAAATGAGCCCCTCTCCTCGCCGTTAAATGCGCCGAATGAAGGCGTAATGAGAGTTTACTCAATTTGCCATGGCAGAAGAGAGCAGCAGCGTCAGACGGCCAAACTTCTCCCAGGAGGAAACTGATGTTTTGGTCCAGGAGGTCCAAGCTCTCAGTGTCCAAATATACGGAACTGCGAGCAGACCTCCACGGGCTGATGATGCAAAGGTAGCCTGGGAGGAGGTCACCACAATTGTAAATCAATGTTGTGTTTCTCTCGAGCGCACGCGCTCTCTCTCTCTTTCTCTCTCGCAGTCTCACTCTGTTTCTTTTCTTTTGACTTTTCTAAGATGACAGATGCTGAATATATACTCCCTATCTGATGCTGTGGCTGTTTGTGGTTGGCTGAGAGGGATGTGAACTCATTAGTTTGCAGCTGTGTTAATCAAATCAGGTTGGGTTTCCATTACGCGTGCCAAACATGCCAAACGGTGCCAATCCCCTTTGATCTGACATCAGATGTGACGGGACAGTCGATATAGAGATACATTTATGTGCTGATTGCAGATAGTTGCATTGAATAGTGTTTTTTTGGGTATTTATTGCATTGTTAATGTGCCTGATATTCTGGAAACCTGCCTGTGAGGTTTTGGTGACGTGTGCGCACTGTCCGCCGGTCAGCCAAACTTCTACTTACACCCCGGCTGCGCTCCGCCTGCGCTGACAGTAGACCTGGTTTCAGCTGGCGAGCTTTTAGCACACCTTCGGTGAAGCCTTTTGGCACGAAACTGTCACTGCACCAAGCTGGATCTGTCGACACCTTCCCCTGCTGCGCCGCCACACCCATCTCAGAGCACCTCGGTCTGCCAAACTACCAAACTGAGCGCGCCTCGGGTTGCGCTGCTCGAAACTAGCTCTGTGCGGGGTTTGCCACCCTGCGCCGCGCCGGGAAACTAGAGGCCTAAGAATGCGTAAAGTGAATATGGAGATACAAAAAATACACTAATAGGCCAATCAAGTACAAACAAATATACTTGGCCTAAGTACAGTAGGTAGAGCAAAAATGTGGATGCATGTTTCCCTGATGGATGAAAATGAGAACCAACGCTAGGACCACCTGTTAAAAGAAATCTCCAGTATTTTTCAACCTGGACCCTAGTTTCTCTTGTTTTAGTGGTCAAGTGACTCGTAACAACAATTTTTGAAACTGGTTCAGTATTGAGAGAGACTGCTGCAGCCAGCAGAAGTGAAACAAGCTGAAATGTAACCACTCGGGGCAAGTGCACGGTAAACCCCAAACCACCCATGACATAAAATTTTTAAGTAAGGTTGACACAAATGCCCCAGATAGTCAAAATAATACAAAAAACTTTAGTATCTGTTTATTATAAGACACATCCCATTGGCTGCACTGATGCATTATGTTACACAGCTCACCTGTGCTTGGTTGTAACACTGTTGCCAGTTAGCATGCTAAAAAGGGGGGATGCCAGAAAGGTCCATTCATGAATGAACTATTCAATTGGAGTGCTGTACTGCTTGTGACTTTTGATTTCAGGATTCAGCACCCATCTACACATACCAGAGCTGAACAGGATTGATTTATTGTCAGTTGGAAGTTTAATCAACCATGTAAAAACCCTGTATTAATTATCCATCCACTGTATACAGACACTAGACCCACTTGAATAAGAATTAATTTGGCCTGTCACACAGGCTGCATATTGAACTAGGAAGAAGTCCTACATCACCTGAACTTGGTCATGTGACATACAGAATGACTAATATGTCTTCCATCTCATGAGATTCATGTAAAATTTAAGAGCAACTTAAATGATCTCTGATCACTATTTACAGGCATAAGACATTTTGAATTATGTTGCATGCTGGCCTAAAAATGTTGAAACTATACTATGCTGTTTGCTACATTTAGTTACGTGCTGACCTGCTTTTTTTGTATTACATTTTTTGTATTGAGGTCAAATAACTCACCAACTGTTGGTAATACAATAAAGCCTTCAGACTGATGCTGTAATTAAAAACAAGTCTTCTTTTAAAATCAATGTGTTAATAAAACTATGAATGCACCAGCAGTTCATTACAATGTATTTATTACATGTCTGTCATATTTATAGGTATAATTCATTACAGCTTATAAACCTGCTGTTTTATGAAGCAGCAGTGGCTGCTGCATCAAGCCATACATCCAAATGACTTTAATTGATTTTAAAATCAATTGTGTTCTCAGCTGGAGGTAAGCAGCCCAGTGTTGCTACTGTGTTCTGCAGGCTGCAAGTGAAACATTAACCTACAGCAAACACACTGTCTATAAGAATATGATATATGTACAGTGTATAAAAAAGAAAATATAAGATATTGACTGCAGTCAATTTTTACTCGCATTTTATGTATCTGCTTAAAGTTGTCATCCTACACTATATTGACTAAAACTGAAAATAAAAAAATCTTACTTGTGTGTACGCGAGGGATTTACGTGTCTCTGGTAAATAATTAATTCACACAATTCATGCCACAGTCATAATATTCACAAAGCAGCAAAAATATATGAAATGCAGGGGTAATATGATGTACTTACATCCATAAAAGGCTCTGGAGACTATCTGCCGCTTCATGTTTTGGCAGAGCATCTTTAGAGGAATTCTGGTGTAAAGAAAAGAAATCCACCATAACTGTCAAGCCACTGTCTGTCTGATCTGTAAAGGCTTATTCTTCAAATATTTGCTTTTAATGAAGAAACGTCAGACCTGGCTGAAAGCTGAGGCAAAAATAATGGAGAGACTTTATGTGGGGCTTTCTATGGGATAGATGAACTAGATGCTGCCTCCACAATAAGTCTGACTCCTTAGAATTCCATTTCACAAAGTCGGTTATTATTACCACAGTGCAGACACACACAATAGCCCCCACAGCTACGGTGATCTCACTTCTTCTAATGTGTGTCTTGGTGGCATCCTGTTAAGGTACAAATTAACAGCCTATCACAGTCAGCTGTTTTAAATGTTGCCTACTCTTCCATCTTCACGTCCAAACGCCAGTCAAGTCACCCGAGGAAAATGTTGGCATTGTACATTTCTGCAAATGATGGTGTGACACTTTTGCGAGACACCCGCCAAGCTGCAGATCACTGTACAAGACCAACACACAACAAAACCAGTTGTGTTTTAGTGACCAGTAGCTGTTTTTCTAGCTGCTTTATTGGCACCAAACATGATAGGGCTGAAGATTGGTACCCAATACCTTTGAGGTATAGACTGAAATAGCCCAGTACCAAGTAGCAGTGAAACGTCTCCAGCCAAAAGATACCTGCATTTGATCCTTTTTGCACCTGAGTCTGATCCAGGACCAGCCTGACTCCCTGCAGGATCAACAAACTTTCTGTTGCTGCCCTCTCCCAAACAGCTCTCCTCCCAGCAAATGGTTAGTTCAACAACTGCCCATTTAGCACAAGCTAACACAGCAGCAGCAGCAGCTAACATCCAACCTCAAGCTATTAAACGGTACCAACACACTGACATCATAATGGCGCAACTGTCATTAAACCCGTTAACTACTGTTAGGAAATGTTACTGGTGTGATGTTAACAGTTAGCCCTGTCACTGTGTTTGTACAGCCAGGCAGACTCTCACAACTGTCCTTGGCCAAAAGCTCACACTCCTGCAGCAGCTACAATCCATATACTCTGTGGTGTGTGGAAGGTGAGGGCAGTGTATTTAACAGAGTTGACAGTTCAGCTTGCTGACATGTCACCACAATATTTAAAAGCATGGCTATAATACGCTACATTCACATTATGGTTATCGAATTAAGTACTGTAATGGCACAGTATCACTTGAAGGGTACTGGTATTGGTGCTGGTATCATATTTTTTAAAACAATTAAACTAAGACCTAAAACTGCTTTTTCCCCCCACTGGGATAGTGCCACGAAAAACGATGTTTTCTAACATCAGAATATAACGGAGACATCAGTGCTTTTTAGCGAAGACTGTGCCCCCAGAACCAGGTAATATAAGCCATAACATGACCTTTTCCTGACTGTAACCAAGTGGTTTTTGTACCTAAAACAAATTAACCACAGATTGTTGAAATGTAAAGCTTCAAAGTATCTGCCACATAATGTGCAAATATAATATATCCATAGTTTGCACAAACATAGAATGCCAACATTTGATCTTCTGGCTCCATGCTGCTGCCAAGACAGCAGCAAACATTTTAAAATGTCCTCTGCAAAGATTCATAAAATTTCACTAAATCAGTTTAGAGTCAACAAAATCGCAGTACTGAGTTTTAAATCAATGAAGCTGGTTTTCCAAAACATCCTCATGTACTCTCAGTGTTATTCATAACACCTTTTTCTTTACTGTATTGATAACCTCTGTTTCCCAAACTAGACTCTACTAACCTCAATTTGTTGCTCAAAACATATTATAGATCAAAACAGGCTCACTGCAGCACACTGTTACCAGTAAAGGTTTAACAGGAAGGTTTTTGGGATGTTAGTAAGAACATACGTGTGAATATCTGATGGCTCGTGCATGCAGGTGCAGCCAGCCGGGTAGTCGAAGGACACGCTGCTGCCAGCTGTGGAGCAGGACTGGCACAGTGATTCATGAGTGGTTACTTCTGCTTGTTGCCACGACGATGGGCTGCCTCCAAAACCCTGCATCTCCATCATCTCCCCGTGGTCTAAAGCACAGAGAATGACAGTGAGAAGGCAGAGAGCTCTCAGTGTTCTGAGACAAAATAGATACTGCTGTTTACATGTACTACTCTCTTTAGTTATTTAACAGTCTCCAGTGCATTTAAATCCACTTCACACTGGCTGTTTTATGTCTTACATATTATGACATAGGCCTCTCAGCTCAACCATAAATACATCTTTCCATGTATTGTTATTCATGACATCAAGAGATGGGTAGATGGGTGAAAGTTTTACACTCATGTTACATGTGAGAGCTGGAAAAGCAAGCATAGAGAGGAAACCAAAAGTGGAGGGGGACAGTTCAGGAAGCAGGAACGGTGCTGTGGGAGAGACAGGCAGAGAGGATGCAGGGAGGCCATGCTGGTTCAGTTCATTCAGAGGGGAGGCAGAGGAGACAGCAGAGCTCAGGGACGCTCCAGACAAACAAGACAGAGGAGGAAGTAGCAGAGGAAGAGGAGAGGAAGTGAAGGAGCCGACAGAAGAGGAGAAGACAGGGACGAGGCTGACGCTCAGGCCATGCAGGATGCATAAAGCCAGAACAAGACAAGAGACACCAATAGAAATTATTTCATAAACAACAAAAAACAAATGGACTCCAGTAAAAGGGCACACAAAGGGGAGGAAAAAAAAACATAAAAACTTCAACATTAAATAAATGCTCTTCACCTTAATTCTTCAGGTTGGAGCTGATGACCTGTCATAAATATGAAGCTGCGCTTTGGTTGTTCAATAACCCCAAAAAACAAATAATATTAAGAACGAAAAAAAAAAGCGAACAGAAAAAATGCTGGAGAGAGACCGACATTTGGCCTCCCCCCTCTTTACTTTAGGACTAGACGTGATCAACGACTGTTTTTGGGCTCAGTATTGCAACCCTGCTCACACAAGGACTCCACGTCTCTACTACTGCGGAACCCCACAGGACCGTAATGAGAGGGGTGGAGGAGGGGGCGAGGGGGGGGCAAGGGGGGGCAAGGGGAGGAGTGGCGGGGGTTAGTGAAGAATTACAGTGAACAGCATCGCAGCAAACGACTGCACAAACAGAGGAGAAACAACTGAGGAAGTCAGAGGAGAGAGAGAGCGAGAGAGAGAAATCAAAACAAACAGAGGAGGAGACCGTGAGAGGATTTTCCATCACAAGTACGTAGAAACACATAGTCGTTCTTTAAAAAACAATGAAATGGGTGCATATCTCCCATGCAAAAATTGTCAGGCATGTTGCAAGTGAGAAATGAAAGGACAAAAAGAAGGAAACAGAATTTAGTCAAAGTAAAGGAGTGCAAAAAAAACGAAGCAAATTATCAAAGTGATTCTTGGCCACGTCAGCGTAAACCCAAGAGTGTTGAGGCATGCTTCCAGAGCTATACCCTCTCATAACTCTGCAATCAGCACTACAAATCCCAGAATGCAAAGCAGCCAGAAAGGCCTTGACCTAGACGAGGAGACCTGGGGTTAGTTTAAATCTGTGTGACAGTGATGAAACCAGGTGACAGCCATGTACAGTCACTGTGTTTGGCAGCACTCTATAAAACAAGTCTGTTCATTTGACAGTTTGTTTCCAGTGTGTGTTCCACAGGATCCCTGCCAAGTCAGTGGATTAAACTGTGTCACTGAGCGGTGGGAAGAAGGAGGAGAGACAGAGAGGGAGTAACATTCAGCAGGAAGGGTGTAGTGGCTGCTGTGGCATTAACTGGATGTCTGACAGTATCTGTGACAAAAGCACCATTTTCTGAAGACACAATGTTATTGTGCCGGATTACAATGTCTAGGGACTCCGATCCTCCTGGCTGTCATTTACAGCAAATTCAGCCAACAAAATGCTGAAAATGTAATTTATTGTTGGAAGGGAGTCTACAGGTATAAGCCCCCTAAATTCAATGCTTTTTAAGACCTTTTTTTTGTTTGGACAAATCATCTCTTTCTTATTTAAGTAGTGAAGGTAAGTAAAATGGTAAGTAGTATACAGTAGGCGGTCCCATACAGAGGAAGATTTTATGTAGAAATAAGTAAGTTAAATTAATTTCCTTTACTGTAAAGGGTAAGTGCAAATAAAAGGTATTAGGTTCAATGGTAGGTTTAAACATTTGTAACATCAGAAAAGTGGACTGACACGCAGAAGAGCTCAACTCATTTTCACAAAAAAAAAAAAAAAAAAGATTGATAAATTAAATTAGATAAAATGTTTGTAGCAACAGGGACCTCCAAGACTTTTAAAGGACCTGCAGACACCCTGGTTGAGTAAATGCTATGGAATGGTTGGATTCGGCTGAGACTGTGTTTTATTGGTGCTACAGATGATCCTAAATCATCAAGCTGCTTACTTTAAGACTTAGGAACTGCTGACTTAGTAACTAACATTGTGATGATGTATCACTGCTCATGCTGCTCCTCTGCCTCTTCTCCATCTGACACCTGCAGCTTCGCCTCTGATTTACCATGTAAGCATTGCACAAGATCTACATTATAGTTTATGTTACTGGAGTATCATGTGCAGCACTGGAGACTGTACTGACTGTGCTCACTGCTACACTTTAAAGTTGACATTAATGTATAAATTTGATTATATTTGATACACAGATTATATATATTATTATATTATATGAGCCTTTGACTATGGCTGTTGTGCAACTGACAGTACTACAGAAAACCTTGAAGGGTAACTTTGGTATTTTCAGATTGGACACTTTTTTTCTCATGTTTTTAATTCTAGGTGACAAATGTGACATTTTTTTTAAAATTGGTCCTGTATTGAGAGAAAGTATCAAGCGGTGAAACAGGCGTGTTTAGACATCCACTAAAAGTGCATGTGATTATCACTGGTAGGCTCAGATTGTTATTCTAAGTGTCTGGCAACATTCTGGAAAGGATCCCTAGAGAGATAGACTCTTTTATAATACTAATAATAATAATAATAAGAAGAAGAAATTTATTTATAGAGCACTTTACATCAAAGCGCTGTACAGGTGAATTTTGGTAAGTGGGATGTGGGGATTCGTAAAACAACATCTGCAGTCTTACAGTTTTGAAGCCCTGAGTAATCCTTTATGAAAGCTAACTTGTATTTCCTTCCACAGCTTTTTGTCACTGCCCTAGCAGTTCATCTCTATGAGCTTATTGCCTTCAGCCATGGCTAATGCTGACTCGGAGGCATGTAACTCTTAAACAAAACACATCTATCTACATAGGGCCCTTTCCATAATGTTGTCAGACACTTAGAATGGCAATCTGAGTCTTTCAGTGGCAAAAACAAGCATTTTTTTTAAAATATAAATTGACGCTGTGCAACTTCCCATTAACATTACATTGCAGCCTATTTTGCTGCTGACAGCTGCAGTGAGCTCACGAAATACTGGACCAATTTCAATAATGGTTGGTTCCATTAGTCACAGAAACACATGGGGAAATAGGGGCCACCATGAAAAATACCGAAGTAAAGGGACACAAGGTGTGATCTTTAAAGTCTACTTTACTCCTGACACAGCACAATACAAATGAAATGGTATATGGCTACAAAGTACCATAGCAAGCAGAAATTCTGCATGTTGTATATAAAAAGTGCTACATGTAGCATTTTAAACATCAGTGGCATTAACAAATGTATTGCTGTAACGTTGGTATCATACCTTCAAGCCTGAAAGGACTCTTTTTGACGCCTTGAGCCAAAGGAACCAGGTGAAAATACAACCTCCTTTCAGTTTCTAGCATACAGAGAGCAATATTAGCATTCATTTGGTGTCTGTGTTCACCTGATGAATTGTTCCCTTTCCTATATGCTCTGTTTTGGTCTCCACCAACTCCTGAGAAAAATATCCGACTCATTAGTGGCTGTCTGCTGTTTAGTGCTGAGCAAGTAGCACACAGTGAGTTTAACCTCTCAGAACTTTTCTGACAAAACCTGCTGTGGCTGGAAGCAGAGCTGGTGAGAGCAGAATGAAGTGTTCCTAACTAAACAATTAGCCATAATAGTCTAAAAGACTTTGTAGAGTTGCTAATTGCTAATTCTGTGCTAATTCTCTGTGGTCTGGTCAATAAGAGCGGCCATTTTCACTCCACATAGTCCTTTGAATCATTACATATTGATTAGTGGAGCAATTACTGAGACCATGATGGAGACAATGGATGACATTTGTCTCATGCCAGAGAATTTCATGGCTAAATTAAGACCACATTTCCAACTCAAACCCTAAGGCTTCCTGGCCCTTACAAATCACTTTCATTATGGCAGAGGACAAACAAATAGGAGGTAACTTCTCTCATCTTTTATTCTGTCAAATACTTGCCAGAAAATGTCTTTTTTCACTTTAAGGAATACTTTGCAGATTTTCAGCTGGATTTGTATCTTAACAATGTGGGTCGTATGTGTGAATGAACCGTGGTCAACTTTCCTCCATATTAGCAGCATCCACATCTCCCTGCTCATCTCTCAGCTAAAATCTGCAAAACTCTTCATCTTGTGGATTTTCACTGGCTCTCAGGCTGTTGCTAAAACTACAGATTGTATTTCCTCATTTATTAATTCCAACCACGGTCACAAAGAATATAGAAGTGGATTCAGAGAGAGCTCCGCCCCTCTCGCTCTCTTTATTAAACCCTGACCACATTCCAATCAAACAATAAAACTCAGCAGTACTGATCAAATATAAACCAAGATTTTGTTACTTTTTAGAAACATATGTTAGTGCACTTTTTCACTGTAATATGAGGATTTGTGAACAGGAGGCGTGCGCCTTACCGTTTCCTGTATTGTAACAATGTAAGCTGAAAAGAAATCAGATATTTAAGCTTACTGTTTAACTGTAATTTGAGATTGTTTGACACCAGCAAGCTGCCATATTGCTTCCTGTAACCCACTAGTGGTAGCGTTTACTGGTCCGGTGTGGCGCAGTGCATTCTGGTAGTTGCAGGTTTTCTACCTCTTGAGCAAAAGTAAATGCCACAGTCCTTTTTCTTTGTTTTCTCTGGTCATGTAGCACTAATTTCAAAAGTATTTGTGTCTTTCTGCTGCATAGACAGCCCAGTTTTTATGAAGTGACCATCTTTCCAGCAGTGAAATACTTCTTTAAAGCTACAGCTGGCAACATTTGTAAAAAATAACTTTTGTCATATTTGCTGAAATGGTCACTATATACAAACAGCAGTTTATGAGATAGATAATTGGTGAAATTGTCCTCATAAGCCCCATTTCCACTAAACACTTTCAGTATGGTTCCTTTGGAACCAAATGTAATCCTTCAGACATGGTACCTAGACATTCGGTCTGTTTAGCATTTCCACTGCAATGTGAGCGGGGTTGTTGTCACTCACTGTTCCGTTCAGCACTCACTGTATTTCCTCATCACTGGTGACACAGATGGAAGTCTGTACCTCATTTAACATCCACAGAATGAGGTTGCCCGCTGACATTCTCAGAACAAATTAGAACAGTAAGAGTGAGCGTCTCACTCAATGGGATGTTCAAAAATAGTGGGTTGGTGCATTTAGTCCTTCTCAAGCAAGCGCAGGTGTTGAGTGTTGCTGTAGCCCACAGGAATGATGCTCTGCAATGCTTTTTTTTCTCCAGGTGAGGATTGGAATATGTGCAGTTCACATAGTCTGGTCGAAGTTAATATATATTTAAGTTTGTGTCATTAAAGAGAGAAAATAAAAAGTAATGGAGTGGTCAGAGTTGTCATATTGAAATTTAAGGTGTGCTGATGGATTCACATTAACTCATGCATTAACATTATAAGTAAACATTCCACCTTAAAAGTTGCCGGCAGTCAGCCCTGTGAATTAAATTATTTTTTTCTCAGACTAAAGGGAACAGCAAAATATCCTTTGATTTTATAGTTATAGTTTGCTAATGTATGTAAGACTGGCCACGTTATGAACAGCGGTTACATAAGCCTCAAAACCAGCCACAACAATTGACCAATCAATGGACTACAGTGTTCACAGCTCCAACTTTTAGTACAAGTTCTGTGTGCTGGGTACCCCAACAGATGGGTGACCAAAAAATCGGGATGATAAGGAACAGTGCCATTGGAACCATCCACAACATTCACAATGGAGACAGAAAAAATCTATACCGAACTGAACCATACCAGACTGCTAGGTGGAAATGGGACTATGGTACTTCCAATGGCATTTGCAAGAATCCATCGTGACTGAAGGAAACCATCTAATTAAAACCGAAGAGCTCCAGCTGGTGGGCAGGGCTTGGTTTTGACTCGGCTGGGTCATTTTACAGCTTGCTTTACAGTTTGCTACATATGTTTCTGAAAACATTTGAGATGAGATGTCGGCAATGAAGTAACAGAATCTATTCTTATTTGACCAGCGCTACCCAGTTTGACAGTTCAGAAGCAGTGATCGACATGACTGACAGCTGTGTTAGAGACTCTGCTCTGATTGGTTGTTTTCCTTCAGCTGCGGTGGATTCTTGCAAATGCTATTAGCAGCAGTAGATGGAGGAGGAAGAATATGTATTTTTCACATATTATCTGTCTGATGTACTACTGTCAGGATATGGTGACCGTTTCAGTAAGTATGACAAAAAGGTATTTTTCTAAAAGTTACCAACTACAGCTTTACAGAGGAGCCACCAGGGGGAAAAAAATGCAGATTTACTAAATAAAACTGAATGAAACCTGGTGGTACAAAGTTAGAGGCTGCTTGTCTCAGCTAATGTTGGACTCTTTTGTATCTGTTGTCTCAGAGTTATTGCGTTAATCATTTATTAATGCTTATTTTATTGCCATTGTTAAAATATTACAGCAACTTTTCAATTTTGTGTTGATCAACCTGAACGTCTCCATGTCCTTAACACAGGCAACCTGCCTACTCCACACTGTTGGGCTCGGCCTCAGGAAGCACACACACAGGCAGACGGAGCTGGGGGGTGGAGTCAGGAAGGGGAAGAGAGGAGGGCCATGATGGGTGGGATGCGGGAAGGGACATCTGAAGCCAGGGACAGGTCTCAGGAGTGGGGAGGGGGGTGGTGGGGTTGGGTGGGTGTGTTAAGGTGATAAAAACCTTTCATGACATTAGGGTCTGTGAGGTTCCGCGAGCAGATCATTGAGATCATAGCATGGAGCCTATCTTCCTCTTCCTCGTCATCATCCAGCGACGGAGCACGGCTGCCCGTGGTGTGGTGGTAGTTTATAGTGACTGCTTGCACCAGTGGGACAACAGAGAACACAGTTAGAACAGTGCCATCCTACAGACCTCGGGAAGAGCATTGTGGGAGATACACAACGCTACACCTGCACTTTGTAAACACATCATGGGAAGACAAAATTCAAGTAGATATTCAGTACTTTTGTTTTAAAAGGAAAAGCAATATCAGACTGGAGAGTTAACCATAGATGAGTTTACATTAGTGTTGTGTGCAGCCTCTACTGCCTTAGGAATACTTTGTATCAGTGTGCATGACAGTGTAAAAGTGTTACTTACTGGCGTCGTAGCGGTATCCAGGGTAGACGATGCGAAACACGTAGTCAGCAGCTGTCTGCTCCTCTCCGTTCCTGTCTTGGTCGATGAGTCTGGCAGTACTACTCCTCTTCCTCAGTTTAGGGAACACTTTTCCCTGCAGAGCACAGACAGATGTATCAAAGTGTGTAAAAGGCCACAAGGTTTCCACTGTGTTTCAAAGATAATTTTGGATAAATCTAAACAGGCAAAACTCCTTTGGATAAATGTTGTTTTTATGCGCTGTTTGGTACCTGAGTTGATGGGACAGTTAAGGAAGAACTGGTGCTAATATTGATTATTTCTTTCACACTTACAATAAATGAGTTAGAATAAATAACAATAATATAAATAATACCACATAGTATCAGAAAAACACTGCAGCTGCATTCCATGTTTTGGATGTTGGGGGCCCCTAAAACCCACAAAGGATAAGTCTAAAATAGTGGAAGGTTCTCCGGCTCATCTATAACATTGTTGATCATCCAGAAAAAAATTAGTTTTAGTTTTAGTTTAGTTTTACTTAACTATAATAACCTTGGTCTACAAGTATCCAAGTCATACTGTACATCTGTACTACTTTGTGTGAATTCAGCTCCTCAGTGGGATCTGTATCAAAGACAGAAGGGATTTCATTTAGGTTAAGGGTTGCTAGTTTGGACGGATAAACCTGAGGTTTGAATACAACGCTCAGAAGTTGACAGACCTTGCCTTTCTGGGACCAGAGGGGGGGCTCCAGCTGACCCCGCGGTAAAAGGCCTGTTTCCAGACAGGAGAGGAAGGCCAGGAGGTGACCACCGGGGGGGAAGTGGAGAGGCGGCCGCTGGATTCCATCCTGACTAACCAGAACCAGTGTACCACCACAATCAGCTGGAATATGATAGAAAAACATTAGACGAGGATGAGGTAGGAAGAAAAAAATAAGAGAGATAATAAGAGGTGAAGAAGCGGTCAACAGCATAAATGAAACCATATGATCTGCACTGCCCATTAACAGTAGATTTACACTTTATCAAGACAAGTAATCAATACTGTGATATGACAACAGCTTATGAAACCCTTCATGACCAAACACTCTTAATATATGGTGACTGATGTAGTGTGATCTGACTGTGTGTGCAGGGATGAATGAATGATGAGGTAATGTGGGAAAGTGTACTCACGGCGCTGGTGACAGTGAATACAGACTATCTGGCGCAGAGGGACAGTCAGAGCATAGTCCCAGTAGATACTGACAGAGAGGGGAAGACAAGATGCAAAACAAAGCTTCAGAGGCAATTGCATATTTCCAGACACTGTCAGTGTCATTAAAAGCATGTCTTTTTTCCACAATGAGGAGTTACATCATTTATATATTATCTATAAACATATGATCAGTGTGTTTGGCTACCTCTTCTCCAGGTCACAGTCTCCCAGTGTGCCGTTGATGAGCTGGTTGGGTGTCCACTTTAGAGTGAGGTTATCACCAGCCTGGTGGAGTGATAAGTAGCCCCGCAACACTTCCATGTCCTTCTTCTAGGGCGGGGGAAGGAAAAGGAAGAGGACAGGATATAATGTGAGACTTCTGGTGTGAAGGAGCACAAGACAGAGAGCAGAAAACTGAGGCCGTGTTCCTTAAACTTTTTTAATCTTAACTATTTCTTGAAGAATTTCTCTCTAACATTTAATATTTGTGGCTAAATAAACAATAGTCAGGGTCTGAAGGCCAGATGAAATGGCATTTCGAGAGTATCAAGCTTCAGAATTGTGACATGTATTTATTGTAATCCACTATTTATACTATCCTAAAAAACACAGGACTTTCCCCAGTAGACCAGTGTTTGGAACTTAAAGTTAACTTTGAGTAATTTTCAGGTACGTCATCACCATGTTACTTTTCCTAAACCAAGCCACAGTAACTTTACATTAAGTATGTAATGTCATATGTGGGGTGCTAATTTATAGGATGTCTTATGAACTGCTGTGTGGGCATTTTCATAGGATATCATACATACAGTTGTATGAGGATATGTTGCCAAACAAAGAATGTTAGGGGCTAATACTAATTACACATTACATAAACTAATCAGACCCGAAATTTGATGCTAACACTAACTGTTGGTGCTGGGTAATCACAAGTGACATGTTGTCCTTTATGTGGTAGTTGTCACTGTGTTTAATATTCAGTATTATCATTTCCCCCACTATGGCAGCAAGCTAGCTAAGACCTGGAGGTATGACATCAGTCGGAACAAACAATTTCATTAGTCCAACATATATTTCCTCAGGTAGAAATCTACTGAAATACTGAAATCGAGGTCTGTCCAGATATGTTTTCCTCCACAGTAATGACCCACAGGGGTGTGCCAGTATTCATAAAAACCCCACACAATCAGATTTTTATAAAATTTCTGTGCAAATTTTTTGGAAGAAAATCTGTGCTTGGTGTGAAACGGCTTTAAATCTTAACTTTATGGTTAAAGGTTGCAGATTGTTTGATGGGTGGATGTCATGATATGATTGGTTGGTACTACAGTACTATACCTAAGCATACTTTACATTTGTTTTACGGATGAAAACATGATTGGATTTGATAAAAGAATTTTAAGAAATTGATTTCTTCTTTAATAAACTGTTAAATAGGTGCACAATATGACAGAGAATGTGACTGAAACAGGTTAAAAAGACTTCTCTAATGTCTCTAATGTCTTCTTAAAAAGACATTAGAGAAATATTTACTCATACATTTATGACAGTTTAACACTCAGAAACTCAGCCTATCTGCTTCATCAGGAATTTCTGATAAGATTCAACAAAGGCAACAATGGTGTCTCCATGGCAGCACAAGCAAATAATGGAAAAAGCCACACACTAGATTGTGCTCCCATAAACATATACTGACTTTAATTATCACAGAGATTACATTTAAGTAAATCTATGTCCATGGGAGCATAATCTAGTATGTAGAATCTACTTTTTCCGTGTTTTGCATTATCTCTTATCCAGCACCTATTGTTCATCCTAACCCTACAAGCAAATAACCCTCAGATCTGATCACGTTATTGAAAGCAGGTTTTCAGGGTTTTTTCCTATTCAAACCGGACAGGCTCCGATGTTGCTCAACACTGCACATGTATATGTTACTAATATAGACAGAAACTATACTATGAAAAGCAGAGAGTAGATTATGTGCTACCATTTGGTATGTGTAGCATGCACTCCACTGAGTGGTGGAGTCATCTGTATGTGCACTCAACCACGTGTTAGCATGGCTCTGTCAAAGGCTGAGCATTGTGGGAGGCAAATATGTGCTCATTATACATTCCAGGGCCAAACATGTTGAAGCTTCTTGGTAGTGCAAAGCACATAGGCTACAGGCTGGACAAAGATGACTTTATTTCAAAGATTACACATACAGAACACTCTGTGTGTGTTTGTGTGTGTGCAGCACAATAAGCTACAAAAATAATCATCATTTGAAATGTATCTATAGACCAGTTGAGTGGGAGCAAAGTGCTGTCTGTCTGTCTGTCTGTCTGCCTGCCTGTCTGTCTGTCTGTACTGCATATATGTAGGCTTCCAAGCTGGATTTCTGCCTTCATCCTAAGTTTCCATCAAAATAGTTTATATCAAAGGTCCAGTGTGTAGGATTTAGGAGCATCTATTTGCAGAAATGGTATATAACATTCATTACTATGTTTTCATTAGTTTATATTTGCCTCTAAATAAGAATCATTGTGTTTCCGTTACATTAAAATGAGCCGTTTGTATTGCCGTATGTACATATGAGGTGAGCTCTTTTTCAGGGAGTCCACATGTTGTAGCCCTGAACAAACAAACCAAACACTGGCTCTAGATAGGGCCATTGGTGTTTTTGCATCCTGTAGTTTGTAGTTCATATTTCTCCTTCACACTTGACACATAGAAGAAGTTTCAGGTCTACAACCTCACAGCTAGATGCCACTAAATCCTACACGCTGGACCTTTAAGTCAAGACAGCTGGGATGTAGAAGCACAGCGTTTAGCCGTAACATTTAGAAGAGTGTTCACTTCAGATAAACTTAAAAATCAGTGTAAAATATGTCAGAGCGACAGTAAATACATGTTTTTTGTGATCATATGCATTTAGTCAAACCTCCATCATCTCCTCCCTCACTGATTCACTGGACCCACTACAATGTGATCCCAGGCCAAACAGGTTAACAGACAATGCCATCATCCTTGCCCTCCCTCCCTAGTTGTTGTTCATTTGACAATAAATAATGTGAAACTTGGAATAAACTAAATAAATCTAATTCTTTACTGGCTGAACTTGTACACAATGCTGTATTGACTCTTACAACCCCCGTGTGCTTATTTTGAGGTCTTGGGGACACATGATGACAAATTTTAAAATATAAAAAAATTGTTCATTTCTAAGTTTAGTTTTCTCTTGTGCAATATTTCCTCTTGGCTATCCTCATAAACATGCATTAAAGAGTCAGTTCACCCATGTTCACCCATGCAGATAGTTTTGAAAGATATTTCTCTCAAATATCTACCTCCTAAAAAATGCGGTGAGGGCTAATGGAGTTTTGTTTATGGTGCTAACCACTTTGAAAAATTACATTTAAAACTGCAACATTTCCACATTTAGAGACTGTGTCCCTGACAGTCTGGGTAACAGAATGACAGAACACACTGTCAACTGTTTTCAGGACTTGAAACTACTGCAACTGAAAACTACAAAATGTGCTGATTAATAACAAGTAAGAGATAAAAATGATGACAGCCTATATCTGATGTAATTCAAGATATATGAGCAGACTACATTTTTGCTGTTACTCAGTTACTTAGTTCATAGTCTGAGTGGGCGGAAGTTTGCTGCAGAGATCAGCCTCTCATTGGGCGGAACGAGCCACCCACTGAAGTCCCGCCCTACCACCTCCGGTTGTGTAGCAGTTTTCAACCGTTTTCAACACGTCCTTTACTAACTTTTGCAGTGTTTGATCTTGCAGGGATGTAGCCATTTTTCTGCCATGGTTCGCGTCCTGTAGGTGATATTTTTGTGGGTGTGTTACACCAAAACCTGTTTCCCCCCGGCAATATTTTTGCAAGCGCACCGTTGCTGTGGCACCGCCCAAAACGATTGTGATTGGTTGAAAGAAGTACAAGCAGCCGGGGCATTTTTTTTCTCCAATCTCACAGTGAGAGTCGGCGCAGCCAGACCTTTCTTTTCTTGAGAAAGGTCTGGTGAGCGAGACTACTCAGTTCATGGAGACAGGTTTCAGGAATTAAGGCCAGCTGTCAAAAGAGCTGACTTGTGTTTTACCACGCATCTAATATCAAGCAGTATTCACATCGGGTTCAGGAGTAAAAGAGAAGATGATAAGGACGAGCCTATTTTTGAACCAACTTTTTAACACAAATGTCAAATGCAGCGGCTTCTCCGGAGCCTTTGTGCTCCACTGTCTCTCAGAATAACTCATACCGCAGCGGTGCCTGGACAGTGTGACGTGTGTGGTTGTGCTGCTGCCGTGGTCCTGCCAGATGCCTCCTGCTGCTGCTGCCATCATTAGTCATTAGTCATACTTCTACTGTTATTATACACATATGACTATTGTCACACAAGTATACTGTCAGATATTAATACATACTTTCAACATATTGTACCACAGTAGCCAGAACTATAACTATAATATTATTACTTTCATTAATGTTGTTGTAAGCTACTGTCATTACCTGCATCTCTCTCTCTCTCTCTCTCTCTCTCTGTCTCATTGTGTCATATGGATTACTGTTAATTTGTTATGCTGATCTGTTCTGTACGACATCTATTGCACGTCTGTCCGTCCTGGAAGAGGGATCCCTCCTCAGTTGCTCTTCCTGAGGTTTCTACCGTTTTTTTCCCCGTTAAAGGGGTTTTTTTTTGGGGAGTTTTTCCTTATCCGCTGTGAGGGTCATAAGGACAGAGGGAAGTTGTATGCTGTAAAGCCCTGTGAGACAAATTGTGATTTGTGATATTGGGCTTTATAAATAAAATTGAAATTGAATTGAGATAATTCCAGGTTAATGCATCGGGTGCTGGTTCTGTGAAGTTATGGGGGGTTTCTAACTTAAAGTTCAATGCCAGACCTAGCAAATTCAGTGCCCCAGGGAAGCCTCCCCCCAGGCAACTGCCTATGTCCCTTATAGTATGAGCCCCCTCTGGTTTAGGTCCAGTAGATAGTCACATAGAAACATAACTGATTATAAAAGCCGGTCACAAAGTGAGAATGTGCCTTCGTACCGGTTGCACCAGGACGTTGTTTTTGCCATAAAGAAGGTGTGTTCTGGAGTTTTGGTGAAGAGACTCCACATACTCCCTCGCGGATGCAGCAAACCTGTCCTCTGACATGCTGCCACTGGACTGCCTCTTGCGGATCTAGAAAAGAAAAGCCAACTTTTACAACTAATAAGTTTTCCCATCCCACGCCCCCTCAGAGATCAGGTGTACACACCATGCACCCTACATCTCCTGAAAACTGAAGCAACTGATCTATTAGCAGCCTCCACTCTCACCCCAAGAGCAGGCCGCCGGCCAGTCGTTGTGTCTTGGCCCCGGTGGGCCCCGTGGATACGGTGGCGCTGAACTAGCTCATTGGCTGAGGGGTCTGTCCAGAAATGATCAGATGTCTTCAGTTTGGTGTATTCCAGAGCACAGGGCCCCACTAAAAACAAAGCACACACACATGTAGATCCATTATCAGATCCATTAACAACACACTCCATCATCACTTCAAATCAGTGCAATTCCTCAGTTCTAACATTTGAAAGTTTACTACTTAGCTGAAGAGAATTTGAGTTGAGTTTATCAAATGGATTTTTTAGCACTTTGAGCACCACAAGTTGAGTGCCATCTAGTTCAAAATTTTTTTTGGAGAAAAGACAAACATCTCTACAGCCAACATCTTCAGCACTCGGCAACTCACACCACAACAATCTAGACTGATAAACAGCACTACAGGTAAGAGAAAAAATATGCATTTTTGATTTGGGGGTGAACTGTCCCTTTAAACTTATTTCCCAGAAGACCTCAGACGCTTAATGTAATGAAAATTGTGCCTTGGTACAAGACCTGAAAATAGCTTCTTATGGCCATGAATCATTATTTAAAAACAGTGCAAGTCTGGTGTTATTTTTTATTGTTTTTGTTGTCGATAAATCCAATGAAAAGACAAAAAAACAACACACTCAAAACTTCTTCTTTCCTGACACCATCTGTGGCACTCAGCTTTGAGCCCACTTGCTCTTACTGAGGACTTTAATCATTACAAACAGCTCATGAGTACACAGTGCTATGTTTTTTAAAGGCTCAGCAATTTCCAAAAAACATCTGGGCAGTTTTTAACAAATGTTACTCAAACAGGAGGAAGTAGTGCATTTGTTGGGGACTATTTTCACCCACTGATTAATTTAGTTAAGTGCACTAGAGTGAGTATTTGGGGCAGCAGGGCGGTGTAGGTGGGATGAAACCAAAATAAACGGCTGTGTGGCTCGTCGACGTGTTTTAAAATTCATGGACAACAATGGAGCTCCGCTGCACAGGGTAATAAGATATATCAGGATTCTGATCCATAGATAACACTTGTTTAATAGACCAGTTCATTAATGGTTTGGATCTTTTCATGAGATGATACAAATATATATAGAATATCGTGAGGCGTATCCTTTAGTTTACAGAACCATTTGAAAAAAAACTGCAAGTCTGATGGAATAAAATGCTTTGTAATTCTAGTTTAAGTACAGCTAGTGTTCTTAAGTGACCATCATAATTTGCAGACAAATATGTAATGAATTTACATGATTCAAAGCAGCAGATCACTTCAACAATGACCGGCTGACAACATTCAAAAGTATTCCCAACTCATTCTCATTTCCAGGTCATCAAATTCTGACACATGGGAGATTGACACCAAAGACACCCTTTAGCGTCTTTATAGGATGCACCAACCCGGTCTCACTCCGAAGTCATTGAATACTGGCGCTTGGGCAGTGGCTGGTTGCCTGCACCAGTGGGACAACAAGAAAAGTTATGGTGGCAGAAGTCTAAGTTGGGCAGGTAGGACAGGTGGTGGATGGATCCAACAACCACTGACTTTCACCTGGGAATCTGGTGTTCCCTTCCTAAATGATTGTAAAGCCAAACCTTGTTGTTTTTCCCTAAACCTAACCATGTGCATGTGTTGGCTATCTCTGCTCCCTCCACCTCTTCATCCTCCCTGCGGTCTATTCTGACTGGACACAATATACTTGTGTGTATGTGAATATGTGTATGTTAACAGCAGAAAAACAATGACTTAACTATAGTTTTTTGGAGTTAAGTTTATGAAGTATACTGCAGATTAAAATTGTTTTATTTTTGTGTGTGTTGTTGTATCACAATGAGAGTGATGCAACAACAGAAATGGAGCTACTCACAGTTAGAAAAGACTGTAGAAAGTGGTGCAAAAACAAATATTTAACTACATATATAAATACATTATTTTAAAATTGGAAGTATAAGGTTGCAGACTCACATATTGATTGACATCTTAAGAGTACATAAATACTTCATCAGCCAAAGAAAGGCTTTGAGCATTGGCGCACAGTACATACTTTATTAGTAGATGTTTCTAATGTAAAATTTCGACACAGGAATGTACATTTCTCTCCCAGCTGTTCCTCACTTGTCCACCAGGTGTCCTCAGTGTGTTGTGCTGCTCTGCACACCTGTTGCTGTTTCCCTCATCAGACCTTGTTAGCTGCTATTTGGCCTCGTTACCTCTTCAGTCAGTGAAGATCCAGTGTTTATTTTGTCTCACTGTTCATGTTGTCTTCTCTGGTTTAGTCAGCTAAGCTCTTAGTTTTCTGGTCCTGCCACACTGCATGTGTGTCTCTGTTTCTCTGCCTATTAACCGCAGTGTCTGGTTCCTCTGCCTGCTGTTTGCCTTCAGCTCCTGCTGCCACACTGTCAGTGGAGGTGGCACTAAATCGTCTGCTCTTACAAAATAGCTCTGAGGCTGAATTTGTGGTCATTTTTATGATTCCATTTCCTGGAACGACTGTATAATTTGTTTACCTAATAGTAGATTTTGCATGAATATGGGAGCATTTGTTCTGGTTTCGTACTTTTTGTTACTGGCCTCTGGTAATTTTGGCAGTTAAAGCATAGTGTGTATACTCACCCAGTAGGGCTGCCAAGATGGGCCCGAAGACTGAGTCATGCATCAGAGCTTCCCTCTCATAGTATTTACTGCAGAGATAAAAACACAGGAAAAAAGTGAATCAAAGGAGCACATTATCAGAAGCGTTGTGGGGAAGCAGTCAGAACTTGGCTTTAGGAACCGGAAGGCGGCTGGTTCAACTCCAGCGGACTAGTTGCTGCAGAGGTACCCTGGAGCAAGGCACCCATCATGTGTCAGCCCATCACTGCCATCTGTGTGGTGCTATGTGCATGCGTGTGTGTGTGTGTGTGTGTGTGTGTGTGTGAGGGAAAAAAAAATAATTACCCCCAACATGTATACGTACTTCATTTCCAAGAAAGCTGTTCAGTAATCTCCAAAGTAAAGGGGGCAGAATTTGCTTCTTTTTATAGCTTGAAACTGGTATAATTCACCTCTCAAAAATAGATGTTCAGTACTGACTGATTAATTTTGAATTTGGGTATAAAAACAACATTGGTCAAACCAGAGGAAAGCACATACAGCAACACTTGACTGGACACTGGACCTCACCGTTTAGATAACACATGATTATACAGTTAATGACTAATGACTTCTATAAGACCGAAATGTGGCATTTATAATAACCTGAGACAATTAACAGTGTGTGGATTATTTTTCTAATAAAATTTTATTTTTTTATCCTAGTGCTCATCACACAGGTGTCTCGGGGGGGTTTTGAGCTGCAGTGATGAAATCAGTGTAAAATAGTGACACTATCACTGCAGACTAAAATAAACTTTGCATAAGTTAAAATCCTGCTAAAATCATGTGTTTAGTGTTGTAAATGATCTCTGTGTTTGTTAGAAGCTCTGTTTTAAAACCAGTTCTCTTGGACTGCGGAAAAGGAGGCGAAACTGGCGGAGTTGTGAACAAGCATCTGTGTTAAATTCAGCATGTATCTGATCAGCCAACCAGCACTAATTAGAAATCGTAATTTTTGAAACGGCCCGCCTCTCATTCCTACAGTCGCCTCCCACTAAAATAGCACAGCTAACCGACGGAGGCTGATGGCAAGTTGAGGCAACAGAATCCAAAATGTAAAGCTTGCTATCTTTAAAATATTAATTAGATGCAGAATCGACAAGACTACTGTCGACATATGACACTTTGTGTTTCTTGAGTTGTGAGTTTTTGCGGACATGTCATTAATATATCAGATTTCCTAAAGAGAGTTTATTGTAATATTTTCAATCAGGATGGGAAATAACCTCAAACGGAATCTTATTAGAGTCTTGCAAATGGTGACCCTGCAAGAACGTATAGAGTAAAAACTCACTTGTTTTTAGATTTGAGAGGCTGTCAGACACTTTTTTAAAAGTATTTTCAAAGTCTTTTTAAAGTGTTTTAGTGCATTAGTTAGCGATTAGGCATTAGTTAAACTTGCCTCACAGTTCCGGCTACAGGTCTACTGAGGTTGTTTGTTGAGAAATGAGTATCTGTTAGATTTCCTGCTGTGGGACTGTTGAACACTTGCTCTTTATTTTTGAGGGACTGACAAAGAACTTGACATTTACCACTGATGCTTCATTACATTAGATGACCCACACCGCAGTTGTCTGAACATGATGTCCAGTTGTCAACAGAAACAACAAACCTAAATCAAGCAACGCTGTCCGAGTTTTAAGGTGAGTTTTTGTCCATTAAGTGTGATTCAGGTTGTCATGTCTGTGAACCCCATCAGTGCACTTCATGTTCGAGGCTTTGATCAGTGAAGTGGTGGTGCATCATTTCGGTCTGGCTGACGCACCGACTGTGCTCAGCTTGTTGAAGCACACAGTGGTTGTTAGCCAGACAGAGCACAGAACAAAGCACCCAGAGGGAGAGCACCGGAGAAGAATGGAACACTAAATAGGTAATGCAGGGGACTGTTCATCATTCAGCTACAACAAAGCCTGGTGTGGGGTGCTGTGAGTCACTGCTGTGCAATGCTGGAGAGTGAAGAATAAAACATATCACCTGGAGTTGTCCACAATGTACTGAACTATCTTGTCCAGAACTTTCTCGAAGAGCGCCGTTCGGACCCAGATGTGTTTAATGGCCTGGGCAGAGAGGGGCTGAGGGGGGCGGCTGGTGGTGGACGAGCCCTGTCTCCTCAGAGGTTCATGGCCCACACTCTGGGTTCTCCTGCAGGGCACAAAGCACAGGTCAATAAACAAGCACATCTACAGAGAGGGGGTCATGTCTCTATCAGGTGGCCACCTCTGGGGTTGAAATGAAGCCAAAAACTGCAGTTCAACCTAGGCTGACTCTAAAGCAAATCAATCCCCATAGTCCCCCAGGTTGAAATGCCCAACTTTGCAGCAGCAGAAATAAACATGTTTACAGCCTGGTACAAAAAAATTGTTTTGGTCTTGATAGCAAATTTCCCCATTCATGACAACTGTTTGCAGGGTAAATGTTTATATAACTCACCCATTTAAATTTTATTAAGGCTTAAAGTTCCACATAATTAAGAGCGTGGCTACTTTGAGTGACAGGTGGGTGCCATCCGTTGACAAGTTGCTGCCAAGTGAACAATGTTGGTAAGGTAACATAACCAAGGCGTAACCCTAGATTCAGAGTACAGCCGTAGCTGTAAGCAAGCTGTTAATTGTTATGTTAGCTTGTTGTTAAGTCAGCTAAAAAAGTCTTGCTCAATGTCTGGCTGCTAAAAGACCCTCTGATGAGTCAGATATTCCTTTTTTCTGATAATTATATTTTGTTTTTATGGTTTTAAGAATTTTTTCGCTAAAAAATTAGCATTATGACAGTGCTTACCAAGTTAGAAACTAGCTTTACAGTTATCTACACCGCCTCTGCCAAATGTGGTCACTGCTGGCTCCAAAAATCCAAGAGAGCGACGACCAAAACACCAAGCTCAGCACTCAAGTGTGCTGGGCACTGAAGACAATTTTCATAGTGGCAAAACAGTCACTTAATGCCCCGCGGCCCAAAAAGACTTTTTCCCACTGCCTTACATGGCAAAAGAGAAGTCTAGAAACTACTGGGTACATTTTTGAAATGTTTTGAAATTGTTTCACTATTAGGTTTTCATCCATTTGGTCTGATAACATTTGGAAAGTCTAGAAGAGCCACACGACTGAATTCTTTTGCCTCATTCAAGTTAACAGAGTGCTATACTGGAAGTAGCCAGCTTGGCTAGCGGAGGTCCTGCAGGTTCCTGCTCTGTGAGTAGCACAGTGCGGAAGGAGTGCCGAGGCTTTAAAATGAGAGTCCACGCACCAGGGCTTGATGTTACAGTGGCTATATCCATTATTACATACAGTCTATGGTCCATATTATGTAGAAAACAAATGATTGATTAATGTTGCTAATGTCCTATCAGCTTAATGAAGACCTCATTAACTGATAATGTGTAATGTAAGATGTTAATTGTGGTCTAATGTAAGCAAACAAGACAGGAATTGAGAGTATAACAATCAAACAAGAGATATATGCAAAAATAATTTATGTACACTAATAAATAGTCTTTGACCATCAGGAAGCAGCATTAAGCAGCATAATGAGTTGTTAGAGACTGCAGTTCATTACAGCTCACCATTACTTCTAACAGCTGAACACTGGTTTGGTTTCCAATAAAGCTGTACCATGTCCGACACAAGGTGCCAATTTAAGTTGGAAATCAGCCTGCTGAAGTGTTTCGTGAATATGGAGGCAGAGAGATGCCTGATGCCAGCCTAAAGAGAGGAGCACTTTCATCCCAGACTGAGTTTGATCCCTAGCACTTCTACAGCAATCAGACAAAACCATTCACACACCCACTTCAACAAGCTAATGAATGTGTGTGTCTGCCGAGGGGGGCTCGGCTGCCACAGTCACGATGTTAGCATTCCCCCAGCATTTGTGTGTGTGTGTGTATGTGTGTGTGTGTGTGTGTGTGTGTGTGTGCTAAGTCACGATTTTTGCAGTCCCCTACCATTTTGAGAAAGCGTGTGTGTGTGTGTGTGTGTGTGTGTGAGAGAGAGACAGTACTCCAGGGGATGGGGGGGCATCAGGATGATGTCAGAGATAAGACAGAATGCAAAACAGACAGGCTCTTCCTTTTCCTATTAAAAGCTGCAGTGTCTTGCAGTGTTCTATTGACATGAGACACGAGCATCTCTCCTGTATAATTTATGTATAAATTCTATTAAAGTTTCAACGAGGTACAACTTACATTTGTTGTGAATGGTACTGTATTTAATTTCTATACACAGTCTTTTCCACACTACTGACAGGGCCAAAGGATGATACTATCAGTCTGTTAGTTGACCTGGTGAGTGTTTGATTTGAATGACCCTTGACTTCTCATCTAAAAAAAGTATTTTCTGGTTTAATGACGATAATAATTCTGATTATGATAATGATTATGATGAATATTATAATTATCATTTGTCGTCTTCCACCACGATTGCTGTAGGCTGGAATGAGCTAGATTCATGAAATTTTGCCCAAAAATTGGGCCAAGGGTTAGGGTTAGAGGATGGCCCAAAAATTGGGCAAAATTTCATGAATCTAGCTCATTCCACACAAATGCACAAATGCTTCCTCAGAAATGTGACCTCAATTAGCCCCAAGGTGGTGCTGAAATTAACACCCAAAAATACAATTTTGGTAAGGTCACGCCCCTCAAACCCTAAGTCCAACTGACTTCAAAATCTGGGCAACCTGTTCTCTTTTCAGAGTTGTCAAATATGGTGGCCTGGTCATTAATTTCCACATCAGACACTGACAAAAATGTCCTTTTGCGGCAGTATGATACTCTGTCGAGCAGTGTCAGTTCAAATGCTACAGGACAGTGCCAGTTTGAAACACCACCAGATAACAATGTAATTTAAGGACTGGGAAAGTCCGTATAGGCTGAGCAGGAGGGGTCTCACAACAGCAGACTTTCACCGAGGAGGCTGTTGTTGACTTCCTGTAGGAATGTTGAGCCAAACCATGTTTTTTGCTAAACCTAATCACGTGCTTTTGTTGTACAGTGAAATAAATGTAAATACGAGCTGTTTAACAATGTTGTACATTTATTTTGAAAAACACTGTACGCATGTAACGAGCAGAAACTATATTTCCTGTGAAAATGGAAGTATATTTTGGAAAGACACAATGCATGTACATAACAGACATAAATTGACACGACGTCCCAGAATTTCAACAGCAGATGCACCCAGGATACCTAGCGCGTCCTGAGTGGATGTACGTACAAGTCCACTGACCAAACAATCATATGTGATGACTTAGGAGTGGGTTGATTTGGGACACATATCCAGCTCAATGTGCTCTACAAAAAACCCTTTTCAACCATATAGGTTCACCATGATGGATTAATTGCTAAACTGCATAATATGAAAAACAGTAATGTGACATGTACATTTTGAATTTTGACTGTATCAATAACAAATTTGGTAAAAACTATTGCGGCATGGAGCTACACAACTGTATTATAAAGTAGCAACATCAGTCAAAAAATATAAATCAAAAAGTCTTCATAAAGGGCGGGGCTTGCAGGAAAAAGGCTAGAACTCAAGTAGTGAGAGAGCAATCCTGATAAAACTCAGTGGAGGCATCCTGCAATAAGTCCTAAACAAACTCACCAAGCTTCATTCATATCCATTTAAGGGGGGAGAAATGGTGAGTGTCATGATTAAACAAGTGTGTGACTGAAGTGACCTGACTCAGTTTTGCTAAGCCCCACACCCCTCGTTGTTGCTTGTGGCTTTGATTTTTGGCAATTTAGCTACTTTCTTCTGTTGGCTGAAAAACGGGCTTGAACCCAGAAATGTCGCTTGAGACTATATTACTCAAAATGTTACTGTTTGTGCATGTATTTGTTCATTTATTAATCTTTCTATTCTGCAGCCAATATAGGTATAGGTATAGAACACAATGGGTTGGTGGTCTTTTTCTACACGCCAATATGGTCATTCTGGAGCAGAGCAGCCCTGTTTGTGCACATTGACTTTGCTATAATTGCATTGGTATCAAGGAGACTTTTTCCTTCCTGTGTAGGGATAGACCGATATGGATTTTTTAGGGCCGATGCCGATACCGATTTTTTTTCCATAACCCTTAGCTGATGACCGATTATGGACTGCCGATTTTCTTGAGCCGATATTTGGGGCCGATACTGCTTTTGCTCCCTCAATTTACATAAAAAAAATGACACAATGATAACAAATATCACAGGTCTCAAGTTTAAAATAAGAAACATTTATTGAGCAGTAAAAAATACTAAAACAAGATGGAAAGTTGAGGTAGAACAGGTAGAATATTATTATTATTATTATTATTATTATTATTATTGTCATACATTCAAATAAAAAAAAGAGTTCAGTGCTCTTAAATCTTCCAGTAATGTCTTTATAAAATAAACAAATATTTAAGCTGAAGCATAAATAAAACAACAACTACTGTACACAGTAGGATTCGCTGCATGTGCGCTGCAGGGTCTTCCGGCAACACAGAGCTGCCCGAGGATACCTGTCTGTAAATCATGCTAGGAAAAATAAATCCGCGAACCCACGCGCGTATCGGCCGATGCCGATACAAATAAAAAACTCAAATATCGGCCCGATATATATCGGCCGGCCGATATATCGGTCTATCCTTATTCCTGTGTCTGTTTTCTTCCTTTGTGGCTCAGAAGTAGTTAACTTGGGCAGAACCACCATTCTGAAGAAAAGGGGCACCAGGGATTTCTACCACTAGGAAGTACGGAAAGTTTAGTGTGCCATTTCAACCTTTACAACAAATGAGTCATCATACTAATTATCATTATACCCTAAAGTATACTCACACCTTAACTATGATGCTACAGCAAGCAAATCCTGTCAATATTCATAAATGTGAGATTGTAAAATCACTGCCTGCCATTAGATGCAAAAGAATTGCTAATACTTTTAGCTCACTGAGCTCAATGAAAAGATAAAACGTACAATAGTACGTAGTAGTTTCTCCCTGTTATACTATCTCAGTGTTCATTGTTCAGGGAATTTTTACTGGGACCGAATTATCTACAGAGGTCTCTTCCTCTCCAGAATAAACAGACCAGGTCATTTCAAGCGGTAACAACCCTGAGTAAAGCAATTTCATATAAACATCAGTGTTTCTTAGATGCTGTTTGGCTCTTCACAGAGGGGCTACTA